GCTCTCCGCGTCCTTTTTCAATTTGTTTTCCGGCTTCCACGTGCTCCCGCGCTCCATCTCACGTCTCTCTCTTTGTATGCAGAATCTCTCTTTCTATCTCTCTCTCTCTCTCTCGCTCACTTTGTATATAGAATCTCACGAGTGTGTTATACTCGAGGTTCCGCGCCGCGCATTATTACAATATAATTCATAATAGATTAATCTTCTCTCTAATTTATGTGATAATCCGTAACACGTTAGTAACCCTATATAGACTTATCCCTTATTAATAAAATATAGATTATTGGGATTCACACACAGAGCCGCTGCGCATTTTGGACACACCTGTGTTTATACACTGTGATATATCAAATATATATAGTAGATATAAGTCATGTGGATGGGTCTGTTGTGTAAGTGTGTGTGTGTGTGTATGTGTGGTGGGACGTGTGTGGACCTTGCTTGTATGCTTCGCGTACATATAGTAGTTTTCAGGTATTTTACTCTCTGTGTGTAGGCTAAGCTTCGTCTAATGCGTGGCTCTCTACCAGACTCTTAAATTTCCTTTGGTCCGATGTCTCGCCGCGCCGCCATGAGTTTCCACCGCCCGATCGGAATCAACGAACTCGCGGGATTCTCAGCGCTGTTCGATTTACAGCGAAAAATTCTTGTCGCGAGAGTTTGATCTCTCAGAAAATCTCTCCGATCTCCAACATACAAAGCGATATCTTATTCCGGTACGAAAATCTTCACCGCGTCTCGTCCGTTGTGAATCGCGGCAGCTTCTCTCTCGTATCTCACCCAGCTTCGAAAGATTGGATTTTCGTCGAATTCAATCGATTTTTCGCGCGCGCGCGCGCAAGCGCGACGAGTCTGGGGAAATTTCCGAGTCCGAATAATCTACGACACCATGTAGCGAGTGCTGGCTACTCCAACCCTCACCTCGGCCCCCCTCAACCCAGCTAATGATATAGTCGATCTATCCGTCTACAGGGTGCCACACCACCAATCCCTTTGTTGATGATTTTGTTTTCTCACTTTGCCTATCACGCGAGGCACCGTCCGAACGAAACGGAGGAAGGCCGATCTAAAGAAACGTGTGTCATACGCGCGCAAACAAGCCGAGAATACAATTGTGCGATTTACACGTATATATTTATATATATATGTATATGTATATATAACGTCGGGCACCCTGTAGATATTCATCTATAGCCCCTTATTATAGCTGCTCCGTTTCCGATTACGTTTCTACTAATAATAATAATAATAATATTTCCCCTTATACGAAAGAACGACTCGCGTCGTTCGCGAAACGAGTTACTTTGGCAATAAACGGAGGGGGAAAACCTCGCACGCCGGTTCCCCCTTTCTGCGAGCAAAAGAGCTGATTGTCACCATTAGCGTGGTGGTTGTAATAATTTTCGCGAACAAAAAAAAAAAACGTTTGAATTTTTGACTCACTGATGATTTTTAACGTGGTGCTGAGTTAAAAAGATTCCGAAAAAACTGCATGTATGTGTGTGTGTGTGTGTGTTTAAATGAGCGAGTAAAGTGTGTACATGTGTGTGCGGAATGTGCTAAGAAACGGCCGGAAAGTGACAAAATGTAATTAGCAACGAACTTGGCGCGAATGCTCGACGGATTGCGACTCGCGAAAAGGGTAACACGGAAAGCTCGAAATCGAATAACGCGCTCCTTGTTGAGACAGCTTGGTTCAGGTACGCTTGGGAACGACATTCGTGCCCGGAAGTACGACTTGTGCGCACGGAAGCTCCCGCACGATTCTCTCCTTGTTTCCCTTGTGGCATTGTCACACGCTACGACGATATGTAACGAAAATCGAGACGAGAGATGTGAAAACATCAGCGCGCTGAGGATTGTATGTATATATATACATATATATATATGTATGCAAGCGGGAGAAAAATGCGGCTCGAAAAGTGCGGATCTGAAAACGCGAGCACGAAGACGATGTTTGAAACAAGCAGCAGATAGAATATATAGAAAGAACTCGGATAATATAAAAGATATTCGAAAACGTTTCTTTTTCTCTTTTTAAATCGCACAGCTTTTAAAATATTTAAAATTGTTTCAATTTAAAAGTGAAGAAAAATTTATCCGGTGAGAAATAAAAATTGCATCATACACGCTGAAGTTTGTATGTTGTGTGTTTTACGTGTGTCCCGGCTATGTGTTTATCTATAGATGTGTGTGTGTATGTGTGAGTTCTTCCGTTTCTATTACTCGCGGTGAGTATTGGTTTCTCGTGAAAATGTGCCACTCGCGTGTGATGATTGTATAATAAGCGTTTCTCGCGAAACGCGCGTGAATCCGATTAAGAAGAATGTATAAATGCACAGTCCAAGTAAATAACGTAGTAGTAATAATAACAACATCCATAGGTCATCGAAAGACACAGATCATAGATGCAAAGACTGGCCCCTTCGCTCATGCCCGGCTACTCGCTACGTCTCTAAACAACTAGCTGATTGGTCGGTACTCGATCGGCGAGACGCCGATTGGGGATAGGAAGGGAAGGAGGAAGTAGGAAAATGGACAAAAATAAGAAGAGAGAAACGGTTGTTTGTGTATGTTGCTCGCATCGAGTGTGCAAACACATCAGCACCCTGGGAATCGGCGTTCGCGCGATCGAACAAGGATAAATTTCTGTTCGCACGGTTCACCAAGAGATCCCGTGTTTTATAACGGCTAGCCTACTTTGGCACAAACAGCACACCATGCCCGGGCCGGCATTCGCTTTGTGTTTTTCACAGTTTCGTCACTTTCCTGCCTTGTACGTTCGCCTTAATATAAGAAGCTTCCTTCCCGCAATACCTTCAATATATAGTTTAGTCGAAATATCTCACGATATACTATTTTCTCTTGACCTTTCTTCGTTTCTCTCGCACTCGCGCAATTACTCTCTCTTTTTTTCTTTCTCTCTCTCTCTCTCTCACTCAATTACGCCTTCGCACAACAGTCACCTTCCAACACGCACTTTCACTTTTTCTTTCTTTTTTTTTTTTTCACTCTCCTCTTTCTACTTCTCTCTACGATCAGTTATGTTATATCAGTAAAATTTAATTGACTCCAACAGAACATCGATTAGACAGAAACCCGCGGGCTTCGTCGGAGCGCGCGCGCGCGCGCGCGAAAACGACCAATTGCGGACGACTGATGTCCCCGTTTGTGAACGGAGACAACACCGAGGAGCCTCGTTTCCTCTCGTGTGCTATGTAACTATGCCGTTTGCCGGCTAAATCTTTGAATGCGGAGAATAACTCTACCGAGGATCCCGGCGGGAATACTCTTCAGAGACTCTTCGAGAACCGTCACGATTTGTGCGCGGTTTCGCGTGCTCTCACTAAAAAAAAATCTCTCCCGCAAATCTGCGATTCTAATCGAAGTTTTACTTTGTTTTTCACGTCTGTTTTCCACGGAAATATCTATTTTTTTGTCTAATCGACTTTCTCCTTTTTTAATAATGTTTGTTAAATTCGGTTTAATAGGTTTGGGGGGGTTTGTGCTTTTGTGAGGGCACGCTCTCTCACAACCGTCCGTCTCTACCGAAGGAATGCTTTTTATATCAGGAACTCTCTCAACGGGAGGGATAGAATCGAATCTCGTCGCGCGATAGAGATCTGTACTCGTTCGAGAGAAACACTCTCCCTTCCACGTTCAATCCGTCAAACGCGAATCTCATCTTCTCCCGAAGCGTCCCGAAACAGCGTCCCGATCGGCCGCAAAATAAAAACGGGGAAAAAACTCTTCGCGCGCGCTCCGCACGTCGCGAATTTTTTTTTTTTTTTTTTTTTTAATTAGCGATATGTTCAACGGTTCACTTCTTCCTCTCCTAGTCAATTATACTTATCTAGTCAATTACTATATGATTAAAATCCTAACACATGCCTAAAGCGTACTACTCTAAGAAATCTGGGTACTCGTATTTATGCGTCTGTTTTGTGTGTACGTGTGTGTGTGTATGTAAAATGTTTTTGCGTGTGCAAATCAAAGAGCGGTATCATCGCCACTTGATACCGTTTTTCGCGCTCGCTGTGCGTGAGTGTACGTGTTTTTTTGTCTGTGTATGTGATAATTCCATAACCATACGGGGTTACGCGATAGAGACGCGGATATTTGTTTGTGTGTATATGTGTTTATATGTGTGTGCGGGTGCAATAATACTTATTTCCTCAAAACTGAAACGTACAAATTATAAAAAACGCGTGGGCCTCAGAATGCGAGGAGAACTTGCCTCGGCCGAGCGCTCGGGCTCCGCTCGACCGCAGCTAAAAGAAGCGTCTCGTCCGTACGCGCAGTCCGGACAGTCGAGAATACTGGAGGTATCTTCGAGGGACGAGAGACTCGCCCGCGAAGAAGCGTTAAAACGTGGGCTCGAACGGGGCCCCACACGCTCGGAATGAAAGTTCTCACTTAATAGATTAAACTTTTTTTTTTTACTTTTTAGCACGAACGAGTTTGATAATTGCTTCGCTTCCGCCTTACGAACGGATCGAAATCACCGGTCAAGAAACGTCACCAAATGAGAACGCGATTTCCAGAAGATTCTTCCGTAGGCGAATGATTGTCCGCCAATTTTTTTTTTTTTTTTTTTTTTTTTTACGACTAGTGGTTTATCTATTTCGAATTTTGTGATTTTCGTAACGTAAATAATTCCGGCAAAGACGATCGGTTCGTCGGCGGAGTATTGATTAGTGTCTCATAAAAGCATGCAAAGGGTCCCGTGACGTACATAATTGGCCGTTTCTCAAATAACACACGCCGTTTCCGTCGGTACTCGACGCTTGACGTCGTCGATCATCATATTGTCTCGCTCTTCGAACGGAACGGAAGCCACGAAGAAGTGTACGCTTGATCGCGCGTTGGTCGTCAGAAGAATGAAGATTGTCTCGCGGGAAACGTTGTTGCTTGGTTCACTCGATTGTCGATCGCCCCATCGCGCGTGATTGTACGACGAGCGATTTTCGCATTCGTTTCTTTATTCCTCGTGTTTGTTCTTTTTTTTTCTCTCTCTCTTTCTCTTCCTCTCACGCGCGTATGCTCTCGTCGAACGAGCACGCTGACGGCGGTGTGTGAACCTGGCTTCGGAGCTGATATTACCGGGCGCGCCCGTCGCGCGAGACGGTCGCCCCCCTTTTTTGTGTCCACGCAACTTTGAAAAACCTTAATCGTAATCGGCGTGGCGGTCCGTGGAGACCGCGCGCACACACAATCGTGGAGATTTTACATGTACAATAATATATATCTTTTTTTTTTTTTTTTTTTAAATCTGCCCTAGACATTTAACTCTGTACAAGAGTCGACTGTTTTCCAAACTGTGTCGCTTCCCGTGTTTAAAACCCTAAACATTTTTCTTCAAATACTTTCAACACTTTCGCACTTTTTTTTGCTACACTTTCTCTACATTACATTATTATTTTTATTAACCCGGCTGTCAGATTCTTTCTGCTTCCCGTTTCCTCTAAAACATCTTCCTCTATCTCTCTCTCTCTCTGCAGTTTCGTTTCATTTCACACAACGGCTCTTATTACTGCACGCTTTCGCGTGTGATCGCGGTATCTTTCTATCTTTCCCTCCCTCTTTCTCTCTCTCTCTCACTCTCTCTCTCTCTCTTTCCCTCATGATTCGTCATTTAAAAATGTTGCCTCTCATCTCTGTTTTTTTTCTTGTTTTCTAAAATTACGAAATCATCACGATAAACCCGCATCTCAGAAGCCAACGGAAACTACCTTCGGGAAGGCCGTCTTCGCGAAATTCGTCTTTCTCTCTCCATCGCTCGCAGCTTTGGTACATCCCCCCCGTAAACACCCTAGCGACCCTCGAATTGAATATAGAAATCAATCAACCGGATGCGGAAAAATCGCGCACACGTGTTGTAAAGACGTCCCAACAAACAATGGCAAGGCCTCGAAAAAAGCATCCTAAGCTCGCGGACGAGGTAGTGCCTGTGTCTACTTGTCTTGCTGCTGCTTCCGCTGTTGCTGCTTCGGTGTCCGAGTTTTGCGCGATGCAAGTCTCATATGTAGATTTTTTTTTTTTTTTTTCTCGCATATAAATGCAGTCAGCCGAGATAAGCAGCGTCGCGACTCCCACAGGAAACGGACGAGCACCTGAGCATATTCAGCTGAGGAACCATCAGTCGTAGACCGAAGCGGGTGACCAAAGGGGGACTAGGGCGTAGGGCTGGTACCACTGCTGCTCGTGCGGTGGCGATTCTTGTTAGATGTTGCTTTTGGAGAACGATACCCTCAGGTGGTTGGACTCGCTGAGCTGGTAGTTGTGCATTTTCTGCGAAGGTAATACAAAACAATCGACTTTTAAGCAAAATGATCGGAAGTTCGTTTTCAATTAAAAAAAAAAGTGAAAAAATTGTTTGCGTCTCACTTTCTCGAGAAGTGAATATAAGACTGGGAGAGCAAACCGATGCGCGTCTCCTTTTTCACGACGGAGCTTAGAAGGGAATTTTACTCCCCCGTCTCGGAAAGTTAGGATTATCGCCCTATCGCGAAAGTAACGACTTAATTGCGAAGCTACTTACGATCAGCGCAGCCACTGCGTCGTCCATGTTAGGCAGCTGTATAAGAGCCATCTTCCTGTCCTTGGGGAAGAATTTGAAGTTCTTGACGGTGAAGCCGTTCTTGGTGAAGGCTTCTTTGATCTCTTCCTCAGCTACCGTAGCTCTAAAAGTGTAAATTGAACGCGTCGTTGAGAACGTCGTCGCGTCGAGAAACAGTGCAACGAAACAACCGCCACGTCCCCGCTTTTTGTTTAAAGCGTTACTCACGGAATGTTTGATAAATGCAGAGTCGCGCTTGGCGGATAGATGTTCTGATAGTTCTTCGAGCCTGGTTTCTTGAACCGATGCAACGTGCTGTTGGTATAATCTTTCGTGAGACCCGCGTCCGGCTGACCTTCTTTTGGCAACTGAACAGTTTGGTGTTTGCTGAGCATCACTTTGATCTGTTTCCCAAACACTCGTAACTTGTCCATGTGAGTCAGCGCTGTATGATGTGAAATTTAAACAAAAACGATGTCATCATCACAATTACAATCTCATATCGGGGAAATTATTGCAAATTTAAAATTAAAATTATTGTATAACAGCGAATCTCTAAATTTCTCTCTAAATTTCTCGACCGCGGTTGTGCAAACGCGCGACATCTCGCGCGTTTTCCTCCCATTTAAATTTTAAAATATAATCTCCTCTCCGAGCTACATTTAGTTTAGTAAATAAACTCTGTGCAAAAACATTTTAATTTTGTGTGATTTTAAATTGCACCGAAAATGGCACACCTCGCGAAGAAGAACTGTTACTCACCTAAAAGCGCCTGATGAGGTTCGGCCATCTGTATTAGTGCCGAGTCCTTTTTGTTGTAGAGGATTTTCACACGCTGTACATCCCCGTAAACGCCTATGTGCACAATACGCAAATTTCTTTTTTTAGTAAAACTCGACCGGCATACCGCGATATGCTGTTTTAATAGAGACTGCGAATCTAAGGATTGTCGAAGATGAACGGGACAATATATATGTATATATATATATATATATAATGTTCGGTCGATCGAGATCGGGGTACGATCTAAGATTCGGGACATGCAAGAGACAATGCGATTCGGCTGAAAATATATTTCATAATTTTAGAGAACAAAAAATAATACTCTAGATATTTAAACAAAGTATTGAATATTTCACGATTCTCTTTGCCGAATTAATACAGTTATTAATTAATTTACACCGCAAAATATACGCATTAAATTTATTTTGCCTCTGGAGGTGCATATTTTTTGAAATAATTTTAATTTAATTTCTCCCTTTAATGATGTCCCGATGAAGCAAATGTAACGTTAAAAAATAAAATGCCTTTAAAAAAAATGAAAATAAAAAAATTGCCAAAAACAATAACAAGACTTATATCTAATTATCTTTTACATTTTACATAACTTGATTCATAATAAATTCGCATAACACAACTGTACGGTTAATTGGACAACATTTTTACGAAATTGAAATTTTAATTTACAAAATGCATTTTGTATAAACGTGTGTACGTATATATGTGGTAGTAACTTTTGCGTTCGTCCGCAATTATTATATCCGAGAACATCCCCGACAAAATATCGCCGGCAGCCGAATCGCCGCGCGCCTCGTTAATAGTGAGTTTCCTAATGGAATTACGTAAAATAAGCGAAAGCTTACGTAATATTAAGGTTGTGTGGAATTGATATTAATAAAATATTAATGAAATAAATTTAAAAAAGAGATGCTTGGAAATGGAACAGAGTGTGAGAGAACGTGTTTCGGTGGTTGGCCGATAAACACGGCATGAACGGGTGATATGTCATGAACGAGCGAATGGAGTAGCTTGTAGTAATAAAATAAGTTGAAATCACGAAAATATATCGGAAGAATGTCGGATTAAACGTTAAATCAGAATATGTTACAGCGAATATCTCGCGAGAGTGTAAAACATGACGAGAGAAAAGAATAATGACGATGACCAAGACAAGTGAGCTTGTTGAAAAGAAACTAAAAAAAAAAAAGAAAAAAAAAAAGAAAAATAAGAACCAAAGAAAAAAGGAAGAAATATTCTTTTTCTGTATGACGTAATTCTCGGACGTGACGATCGTGTGAAAGAACGTTTGCGTTTGTCTGTGTATGTGTGTGTGTTCGCGCGCGTGTGTACGCGGTGCTTTATTCTTATCACGAAGAATATTTGTATCACGTGACCGGAAAGAATTGGAGTTTCTTCCGAGTGCTTTATATTAGCTTATTGTTTTCTTTTTTCTTCTTTTTCTTTTGTCTTTTAACCGTGCGTACGTGTGTGTCCAAAAATGTGTATGTATATGCGTGTCCATTATGTCGCGCGTTATTTGAAAAAACTCTCGCGTGTGGTATCGCGCGCGTGTTTGTGTGTAATATATGTGTGAAGAATAGCGCGAGGAATGTAGAATATAATAATTAATAATGTAATATAATTAATAATATAAATGTGGAGACGTACCAAACAGGGTAAAGAGAGCGTCAGGCGTGACCATCTACACAGAGAACAGACAGAGTCCAGTCAGTAGTCAGCGAGTATAATAGGATTCAATGTATAGTGTTGGCGCGCGCGCACAGGATTCGCGTTTTTTTTTTTTTTTTTATCGGAAAAAGAAGACACGTATCGCGCCAAACGCGGATTACGTCTCGCTGTGATACAAAAAAAAAAAAAAAAAAAAAACAGATATCGACGCAATAAAAAAGTTACGACGTCTTTACTTATACAGTTTTTTACTTATACAGATCTCTCGAGCGAGTGGTAAGTTCTCGCGATGACGATGTCCATATCTCGTTCACTTTGCGATCGAAAATCGCGAGATCTGGTCGTCAGATTACGAAGCCTGTGCGCGACGCAACGATAGTAGTACACACAGTTATAGTACAGTAGTGACAAGTTGCAGCTGCGAAGTGTGACGTCGACACACAGTTTCTTGCCGAGGCGACATTCATCATCCTCACGGCTTCTTACGCGCGACAATGTTCGTCCGTTTTTAGACTCTCTCTCTCGAAACCGTTACACTGTTGTTTGTGCCGATTGTACGAAGACGCGACGTTGTATATCCCGACGAAGGATTTAATCGAGCCAGCGTGTGTCGTCGAAGCCGATAACAACGATGAGTGTCGCCTCTCGCAGAAGGTAACGTCGTATAGTCGACAACGCTACGAATTAATTAGAACGCGGGATGGTGATCTCTTTGGAACGGAGTGACATTTGTATGTGTGTTTCGAAAAATGAGCGGAGGGCAAGTAGGGAGACAGAGTGGTCAAAGGGGAAGGGTCTTTCGTGACGAAACAGGGCGCATACGCATCGCGTCTCGATCCTTCCACCAGCGGAACAATCTCGAGAATTCTGTGATTAAATGCAAAACATTAAATTAATTAAATTAATAACGAAATTGTCTCTCGCGACAGAATTTAACAAAATGTTTAATTCAACGACACGTTGTTAAATTTTGTTAATAACACATGTCCGAATTTAATCTTGTCTCTTATTTAATTCTCACAAATTATTCTAGTTGCACAAGTCTGTTCCCTCTTGTAATAAATAATAACAATACAATTCAAATATATTTGTCGCGTTTTTTTGCTTGTTCTTCAGAGACGGACGATTTTCAGCGATCTCGTTGCGAAGTTTGTCGCTTTGCAGAGCTTGGCACGAGCTAGGCTTTCCCATTTGCTTGGGTTTCTCGAGACCGTTCGAAAGCGACTCGGTAGAAAGACCGAGCCAAAGGATCGAGAGTCTGCGAGAGGGTTCGTCTACGTAGCACTACGTATCGTATGTAACTCGCTCGTTAGGCCGTGTAATTGCACGGTGTGTGTGTGTGTGTGAATATATACGTACACGTACGAGAGTACATGTACGTACATATACACCCGATTCGCAGATGTACAGGGAGGGAGAGCTTGCGGTCGCGCATTGTCGCGCACTGAGAGAAATAGCGTGTGGCACGGAGTCTCTTACGAGGGAGGTTGCGGGCGAATATATGTACGGAGAGTACAAGGAGAGCGCCCGAGAACGACTCGGAACGAGAAGAAAATAGAGAAAGGGAGAAGTGAGAAGGTACAGAGAAACAAAGAAGAGGCGCGGTGGTTACGTCGCGCGCGTATATACGTGTGTCGTGCGTGCGCGCGTGTGCGTGTGTGTTGCAAGGCGGCGTGTCTCGCGATAGTAGAAAGATATGGCGAACCTGCAGGAGCTCGTTTGCTTGTTTGTTTGCTTGCTTGCTTGCTTGCTCGTTCGCGCGCCCGCACACATACACACACACACACACACACATACGTTGCATAGAGACACGGACAGATGTCACACACGCTATATAGGTATATTATTCGCATACGACACACTTATGCCACACGTGACTGCGAGGGGAAAAGGGCGGCGGTCTACTTCTCTCAGTGCTCTCTGCTGCAGTCTACTCGAACCGCGCGGCGGCGACATCCCCATTATGTGTGCGTGCGCGCCATTTAACGCTTCGTCTCGCTAAATGCACGTATCGCCGTTGAATTTACATTGTATTCATTGTTCCGTGTTTGCATTTAGTCGGAACTGACTTCAGAAAATCAATCACTGTACGAGAAACGCTCTGGTACAATTTCGCACGAGATGTACAATAACACGCGCGAGATCGTGTCTGTGTTGTACGTAGAAAATATATGTATATTACTACGTGTGTTAAACATGTATATTACTCCGCACTTTGTCAATGTAATAAATATGTTCCCTGAAAATGCCCACACGCCCGAAGTCAGTTGCAAACGAGACGAATAATTAAACCAGCGCGACGACGACGCCTGGAAAGAGCGTCGGAACTTCCGCCTCGCGGCAGGCTCGGTATTCTGCGCGTTTGACGGAGAAATAAAAATACACGAAGAAAATTTTCCGAGAGACGTTACGAGAGACCTTTTACTATTTTTCTTTCGTAACACGTTAGTGAATTTTCCAAGAACGAAAATTCTTAATTACGTCCGTGTTTTTGTTTCTCTTCTTCGTTTGCCGAAGATTTTGCGCGGCTTATTCGTCGTTAAGGAGCGGGAGTATCAACGGCGTTAAACGGTGTAAATGGGAGTATAAATAATGGGGGAGTTTTCGAAATTTCGAGTTACTTACCTCCTCGTTGAGATTGCTGACAAGCAACACCGCCGATGCCTGCGCGCTTCCCTGCACCCGCACACCGAGACCAGCAGCACCGAGAGGAAATCCACCGAGTCCGGCGAGTCCTCCGGCCGGCGGTACACCGTTGTACGGACCTGCCAAGGGCGAGGGGAGGCCGTGCATGGCGGCAAAGGGCGTGGGCAGCACACCCGGTGCCCCTGCAATGGACTCTACTTCAAGAAGGTCAGGTTGCGTTATTATTTCTGTCGACATTGCGTTGAAGGGAACATTTCCAGATGGAAAGATACTAATTAAGTCCGAAAAAACTGCGTAAAACAATTTGAAATAAAGCAAAGGTGAAAAAAGAGAAATTAATTTAAAAAAAAGAATAAAACTTATAAAATTAGAAATTAGAAAGTAATAAATGAAAATATTTTTACAATAAACGTGTTCCGATTCGAGCGACAAATGAATTTCCTCTCCGCAAAAAGGAAATTTACAAAGCTTTAAGTTTTACGCCGAAAGTTATTTGCGTAGCAGCTCGACACATCCGATATGATTGTTTTTACAAAATTTTCCTTCCTCGGAAAATCTCGAGCAGCGTTCTTGATGTTTGACCATCCGTCGCGCTAACCTCCTAATCGTCAGTCATGAACGGACTGTTTGCGCAACGAGATAGGACGCAAAGTGGATTACATCGTTACAGATTAAACACCAACAACAACGCCGTGAAATTAATTTAACCCAAACAATCGTCGGCGAGGCATGTAATTTAAACTAGCGTTGTCGCCGGACGCAAAAATCTCGACGATTCGGCGCGGCAAGCGCGGATATCGCTTTTGCCTCCCGCTACTTTGTAATTAATTAATTTACCCGAGAGGAGATAATGTCCCGACCGGTAACAGAACACACGACGGATACAACGAAGGTACTAGCAAAACGTACTAGCAATTTGTCGCTACTCTTGTCACGACATAATGACAACAACAATAATAATAATAATAATAGTAATAATAATGATAATTATAATGATAATGATAATAATAATAATAATAATAATAATAATAATAATAATAATAGTTATTATTCGGCAATATATCGTCAAAGTGATGGAAAATCGGTGTCGCTATTATAATGTAATTAATTCCAATAAACGGCAACGTCATACAATCACGCTCATTGTTCGACCTTTCAATTGCATATTTCTCACAAAATTGAGAGCCCGCAAGTGCGGGAGCATTCTAAACTCATTCACAATTCATTTAACGATAATGATGAATTTTGCGAAAGAGTTTATTGCGCACAGTATACTATAGTCGTAAAAAAAGATATACATATATATATATTCCACTATATATTTGCAATATTATATATACATATAATTATTATATATATATATAATTTATATATATATATATTATATATATATGTGTATACATATATATGTGTGTATATATATATATATGTATAAATATGTATGTATGTATATATACAATGCGGAAATATAACACACCCGTTCATTGTTTGTTCGCGCGCGCACCGCCCGTTCAGAATTGGTTCTGTCCAATTTCGTCTGGTCTAATTGGCGTTTAACTACGATGAATTTTGAAAGCCTCTATTGAGAACTCCCGTATTTAACTATTAACCGACTGAATCATTATATGAAATCGCGCAAGATTAATATTCATTGTTTCAAGCTACAAATAACGTTTATATATACTCATGCGCGAGCGAGTTACATTGTTACATATTTATAAACAATACAATTTATTCGGTGGATCGAATGTGAGCGAAATTTCGAAAACGTGGCGTAGAGATAAATTTTACACAGCATTTAGCGGAGAAAAAAAAATCAAATTTAACGTGCTTCACAGTAGATGAAGAAACTACAAGAACTCTGCTGCTGGAAAACATTTTCCGAAGACTAAAAAAAAAAAAAAAAAAAAAAAAAAAAAAAAAAAAAGGAACGAAATTGCGCGCGATAAAACTTACATTTCCTCGTAAGTTTCTCAATATACAGTTCGGAAAAACGTAAAACTTGAGAATTGATTCGACGGTCTAGGCTACACTGATTTTTACACTCTCGCACACAGCGTACTCACCGGGAATTCTGGCACGTGGCTGCGAGCCGGCTCCCATTAGCAACTGGGGTAGCAATTCGCCACCGAGAGCGAGCGACGCGGCGTCGAGATTTGCGTCACCGGTCGGAAGATTCGGGTTGGTGTAGTCCCGCGATTTGTCGTTGTTGTACTTGACGTTGAGATTTTGCATCTTGCTATAATCGATGCGCAGCGTGCAGCAGGAATTGTAGACGTTCTGGCCATCCAGTGACTGCGCAAAAAATCATGAAACAATTCTCCGTCATATTTTTTTTTCGATTCATTTGGAGAAACGTAGCTTTTGTCACTTTCGTGTATTTTGAAAACTTCAATGAACTTGATACAGATTCAAGAAAAATGTTTCGTCTTAAAAAAAAAAAAAATTATATATATATATATATATACAATAATAATGTGCCGAAGCAAAATGAATCAGTTCACAGCAACGCGATCAGAGAAGAACATCTCAGAACGCACACATCCCCAAAAACTTGGCCACAATGCGAAGGAAAAAAAGTTAACGAGAAAGCTATAAGCAAGAAGTTTCGACAACTTCAATTGCAATCATCGGGAGAATCCAATAACATTGTAAAAAACCAAAAAACAAAAAACAAAAAAAAAAAAAAAACAAAATAACCAATTGTTTCTCAATTCCCAAAATTTCGACGGAATTCTCGCGATTTTGGAATTAAACCGAAAGTGCGTTCGCTTTGGGCGCTTTTGAGCGTCAATCTGTCTTTGTTCTACATTTTGAGCAATAAAGACAGACTGACGCTTAAAGCGCGTAAACGCCCAAAGCGCCTCGAGAGAGAGAGAGAGAAATCTGAGCGTCATCGACGGTGCGCTCGCACGCGCGCGTGCGCGACGGCTTCTGGGATATTATGAAATTTAGCGTAGCGAGGGTTCGTTTGTGCGAATGTTGTTGTCGTGCGCTCGACGTGGACGCAGGCGGTTTTGGGATCGGCTGTTTGAGCAGCGCGTGGCCGGCGCGGCGCATATTGTGCGACAACGTTTCCGTGCCGCATATACGTGAATTGGCGACCACCACCCGGGGGGAGGTATGAACGCGAGTGCGCGCGTATACCACCCGGCCGCGCGGCTCGCTCTATATTTACACGGGCTAATGAATTTCGTACATAATTACCGGGTCGGCTCGCGTCGCGAGCCTCCGGCGTGCGCGCGCGCGCCGCGGTTTCCCTCTCGCTCTCTTCGTTCCTCGGGGCGGTTTATTCACAGTTGACGAGGCACCGTTTGCATAATCGACAAACGGAGGATCGATTCTCGTCCGCGGATTCGCGAAGTAAATTTTTCAAGGGGAAAGGAAAGAAAAACAGCCGCGATTATAAAAAGCGGCCGAGGTCGCTTCCGAAGATACGGAAAAGTCCGAGTGGTTGGCGCACGTATTCGCGAGAATAATTCCATACAAATTCGATTTCGTTGCGCGAACGATGCATAATCGAGAGAATATAAGAGATTATTTGTTTATTACGCACGGTTGCGTTTGTGAAATTCGCCCGAGGCGCCGTTTAATTCGATACACACCTGACGGTGAATTTTATTGGACGGGAATAATAATTTGGAGAGAACGACAGGTGTATTATACGCAATCAAAAATCAGTTATCACGTCGAGAATCGTCGTAATTGGCGATGTGTGACACGCGCAATTGCCTGTCGTTTGTGTTCTCGCTCGCGTTCGAAACTCCGATATTAAGGAAAAAAACAGAAGAGAGAGAGAGAGAGAGAGGAAATTGAAGAGAGGGAGAGAGGAGGGGAGAATCGGGAGTTGAGCGATACCCGCAACAAAGCTAAATTAATTTTCTGTCTTGCGCACTGGCGGGGTGGTTCGTGGCGAAACCGGTGTATTTCAAGCGAATTAATTTTCCCTTTGATCAGCGCACAGGTTTACTAGTTTGCGGCGTCGAACTCGCGAGTGCGCCGCGGTGAGGGGAGTGAAACAGACAGAGGATAGAGAATGAGAGATTTCGAACGAGAGGGGCGGGATGGAGGGTGAATTCGAACCGGCGGCGCACGGCAAGTGATAGAAGTTTCTCTGGCGAGCTTCCCTGTGTACATACACGATGCGCGCGATGGCTTGTCGTGTTGCCGATCGGTGAAATAGCAGATAACGCCGCGCATCCCGCCGCGCGCAAAAACATCGCGCTGACGTGGTTAAATTCCGCGCGTAACGAGACGAAACGCACAAAACGTCATAAAATACAACGAGATTTGTAACGCGAATCGCGTCTCGTTGTTGTAAATGTAAACCCTTTCAGATCTGCGCGGATTTTACACCGTTGTCAGAAACAGTGTAGTTTTTTTTTGTTTCAAAGAAAAAAAACAAAAAAACAAAAACACTGTTTTAATTAAGACGTTCTTGCGCGTGCTTGTTAAGCACGTTACATCTTCTTCTCAGATTAATACAAGATTTTACCACGCGACGTGTGATGATTGAAAAAGAGAAGTAGGTTAAGTAGTTTATACATTCGCACAAAGTATTCGATATGTATTTACACACGGCAGAAGATTAAACTGCGTCACACACTCTCGTCACAAAAATCGAATATCTCAAACACATATAAAAAAAAAAACAGAAGAATTTGCAAAGAGAAGCTGAGTATATATAAATCACATCAATTAAATGTATGTACAACAGGTTCCATTTATTTAAGAGGAAAACATGTGAGAAGGCGAAAGGTTGATGTACTACACGTCGTTCGCGGACGAGAGTCCACCGAAAGAGTTAATGAAAAAATGAGAATTTAGAGAAGTTTGGCGGTGCAAAAAAACTTTTGTCTTCATCCTTTAAATTGAAGAAGTGGAAAAGATTAAATATCTCTTAGGTAAAAAAAAAAAAAAAAAAAAAAAAAAAAAAAAAAAAAAAGAAAAAAAGAAAAAAACAAACTTCTATATGGGATACAACGTGCGTTGTTAGCAGAAATTAGTTCACGACAGGAAGGGCGGGAGGTTGGAGAAAGTTCAGAGAGAACAGAAGCTAACACGTAGTACATCTTTCAGTTTTTAAGCAGCGCCCCAGTCTTAAACGCGCGCGCTGCGGCAGTTTCTCAACTTTCCTTAAAGAGAGAAAAGTGTGGAAGTAGTTATCGTGTCAGTACACGCGGGGCTCTTTAATTCACGATTACAGAGATGAAACGATTACACAAGAGAGCAGAGACGAGTGAGAGAAGAGGGGGGAGGGGGGGTAAAGAAGAGATGAGGGAGGAAAACTACAGGTGAAACAAAATTTACGGCAGAGACACAACTCGTAGTACCTTAAGCAGCGGCAAGTTTAATGCTACGGCTTTCTCAACCTCCTTTAAAACAAAAAAAGAGAACAAGTGGTTATCATCGGGATGTGGCGCTGTAAATCTTTGCGGTTTTTTTAAAACGATTACGGGGAATTATATACGAGTGAGGGGCGCGTTATTAATGACGGAGATGCGACTCCGCGCAAATATCGACGCGAGTGAAGTCTGTAAATACGATTTTACAAAAATAGAGGAGGAGGAAGAGGAGAAGAAAAGAAGAGCGGAGAGCGCGAGCTCTATGATCGGGACCGGGCGCATCTGCCGTCTCCGGAATATAATTTGGTTTGTAAAGCAACCGATATTTCCATAAATCGGAGAGAAAATATCGTCCATCGGCGACGAGAAACGCGCGCGGGGGAGAAGATTTTTCTCACGTTTTCCTATCTTCCCGCCAAATCAATCTTCCGATCGCGTTCATCGAGCTCGCTTCCGGATAATTAATCGCCTCAGTCTTTCTTCGGAGAAGGAGGACGCGGCGGAAGAATATTTCCCCGGGCGCGAGATATTCCAGCGGGAAAATTGCGATCTGTCCCGCGAGAGAACTCGCGGCGGATTATAAGCACCGTCCGGCGGCATGATGAAGAAAGCAAATAGAGAAGAAGGGGAAAAGAAAGAGAGAGAAAGAAGAAAAAAAAACGAGAGGAGAACAACAGACGCTGGTGATGCGACGGGAGAAGAAAATAAAGGGAGACGAGGAAGAAAAGTGAAGCGAAGTCGAGTGGATACTTACGAATTTAGCTGATTGTGCCGACAGCATGTCCGAGTACTGTATGAGGGCCTGGAAAGAACCTGAAACACAAAGAAGCGATAAAAACGACGTGAGACGACGTCTGGCATGAATTTTACGCGAGACGCGCCTCGCGAAAGAATAACCGCGCGCTACACACGATACATAAATTCGTCCGCGAATGCTCGACGAGACGCAACACGTTTATACGCCGCTATTAATAGTAGCACCGCAACGTTTATTTTCTCGTTCCCGCATTTCTAAGGCTATATTATACGATGTTGCAATCGTGTTGCATAAACAGAAATGTGTTTGTCCACTTAATAAAGTGTTTGCGTCAAACAAGAGTCGATAATTGCCGCGCGAACAGTATGAAACAACAAATAAGCTGTGCGTTGCGGCGAGTCTCTCTAAACTAAAACCTTTTCTACTTATGTGCCCGCGCGCGCGCCTCGCGCTCACTTCCATACATCGTTCGAGCGCCCTGTACAAAGCGCGCCGGAAATATTTCCAAATTACGCGCGGAATTGCGAAGAATTTCGCCGAAATGTACAGATTGCAGCAACGCAATAGATCGCGTTTTGCAATACACACGCCGCGCGAGCTGAAATCAAATGTAAAAAAAAAAATAAATAAAAAAAAATAAAGATTTTTGATAATACTCTATTTGGCACGTGGAAAAAAAGGCCTGTCGTTTGCGTTAAACGCGCGTGTGTGTGCGTGTGCGGCGATGGGTAAAAAAAACGGTGATTTGTTAATTTAGCGCGCGGCGAATGTAGCGAGAAACTAACTCTGCCATGATAATACGTTTTTCCCGCGGGACGCCGGAATTGTTTCGTTAGCGGCGTTGTGTGACCGAAGTTCCAGCCGGCGGCTACGCTATTTCATTTTCGAATTTGCTCCACCGTGATAATGGAACTCTTTAACTGTAATACATCGAAGCTCCGATGTGTGTCTGCTGCCCGCGTGACGTGCGCGCGTGCGCGCGCGATGTCCGCAATTTCGTTGACGGAGCCTTTTATTTCCGAATCCGCGGTCATTGCATATGGAATTAATCCCGCGCGAATTAGGAGAGAATTGTTCGAAAACATACACTATGTAAATTCTCTACGCGCGATTTGCCATCAAAATAAAAAAAAAGACGCGCGTCTCAAAATAGCGCGTTTACCAGCGCCGATAATCCCGCCGCGATATTTCCCGCGCGTATTTTTTTAAACACACACACACACACACACACACACACACACACACACACACACACGGGTGTAAAGCGAAATAAAAATATGAAAGAATCAACTCACACAAGCGAAAGATAACCACATTTTTTTTTTTATTAGCGCGCGAACGTTAAAATATTATTTCTGCGCGACGGAAGACTGTGTATGAAAATGTACGAATGAGAGACACGTCACCACGCGGTGTTCCATTTCGGTCCGGCCGCGATACGGTACCGCGAAAGATAAACAATCACGAAGAAGATAAACGTAAAACCGCTATATAACGCGCGAAAGGACGTTTCGTAAAGTTAAATATTACGAAGTTCCCTCGTGGCGTGCACGCTTTTCGCGTGTCCAGGCCGCGGCGAGTTTATAATTGATATTAAATCTTGATTAAACGAGAAAACGCGCGTCGCACAAGGCAGATCCGCAATTTCGCGAGTTTTAATTTTCGCATGTGCGCGTATATATACCTACCTACCTTACATACATATACACACGTATAAGTATACGTCGAACGAATTCGCGAAACTCCCAGCTGTGTTCCAGCTGCGGCGCGCGCGGATGTATATTTCATTACGTAGGAAGCCGCGTATGATACGAAACAAAGGATCGGCCCGCGGCGATGCTATTTAATTTTCGAATCTGAAACGAGGAAGCTAAGAGAATTCTCTTCTCCCTTCCTCTTCTCGACCCTCCCCGAGTGGCAAAACCGCCCGAACGTCGAGGGAGTTAAAAAAAAAAAAAAAAAAAGAAGAAGAAAAAACCACAATGCCGCGCGCTGCACCTCGACGCTTTATAATTTTCCGACGACAATCGTCGCGTCGGCGGTAATCGCCGTGATAACGTTTACTCTTTTGCTCTCGCGAATGTAACTCTCGGTGCTGTTACTCCACCACGACGGTGGTGAACCGAACGCGGAAAAGTGTGTGCTCATTGAAAAGTTTCTCATCGGGTTCTTGCGCGCGGGCTTCAAAAAATACAAGGTTTCATTGTAAGCGAAATAAATAACACGGGCAAAGCGATAATTTGCTTTTGTATCGTTTAAAACTTCGCGACAATTTGCTTTCGTGACGTTTACACAGTCGGTATAATCCGCTCGCTGTGTGTGTGTGTGTGTGTGTGTGTGTGTGTGTGAACATCGTGTGCGCGATGTTCGAAAGGTAATTGAAACATCACTCGAAAAATCTCCTGCCTCGCCACTTCTTCTTTACTCGCGTAAAGAAAAAAAAGCACTCGCGATCATCTATCGTGCGAGATTGTAGCGAAACGAGATGTAGCGAGTTGTTGTATTTCCGTTATACTCTCTTCCGAAAAAAACGTTTCTCTTTTGTATCCGCAAATACACACACGTCGCGGTTGCATATCGGCGTAAAACGACGCTTTCTCGATACAGACAAACAGACGTAACATTTTATTGCGAGAGATTACGCAATAATTTATACATCGATCGATTTTAAACCATGTACGTATGTTCGGTGTCGAATTTATCGCGCGCGATGCATTCGATGTTATACGAGAATGTTTCGAAGACACGCTTCGTATCGCGATTTCGAAAGTACTAAGCGCGCAGCAGCAGCCCGAGAGTACGCGCGCGGGTCAGGGATATGCAGCACTTGAGGCTGCACGTTGAAGTAGTAAAGTGCCGTGTCTGAGCCGACGAGAGCCGGAATCTATAACTCGCGAGAGTGCCGCGTTCGGTCTCTTTCGCTTGTTCTCTATTCGGTGAGAATCGATTCCGAGATGCGACACGACGAAGGTGAACTGAAACACAAATGTACTTACTGTTCTTCGTGAAGGTGACGATCTTCAGAACTTTGCCGAATCGCGTAAAAATCTGAAACACACAAAAAAACAAGCCTCGAGTGAGAAAATTTCTCTAGAAAAAAAAATCTTACTGTTTATTTATTAAATGAGTTACCAAATGAACAACAACATATTTTGTTTGTTATTCAAATATTTTCCAAGTAATTTGATCGAACTAATGTAATAAATAATGTATCGCTTATTATATCGCTCGTTATGTTATAAACAAATTTTACACACAACACACACACACACACACACACACACACACACACACACACACACAACACACAGATTTTCATACTTGTAATTACGATATCGCGTTCCGTATGATTAAAAACTGCATTCGGTGATGTGAAAACGTTTGTAAAAATAAAACTGTCCAGTCTATACACTCGCCGAGACCGATCGTCGACTAAAACGCGACAAAACCGCGTCTCTGTTGGTTCGCGCGCGTCGGGCAAAATTACAAAATAATTGCCGCAAACAGACCGATTTTATTTATTTTGGAAGGAAGGAGAGAGCGCGCAAAGATTGCGCGCTGATTATCACAGACTCTTATAAACCGGCGACAATTATCGCCGGTTGAAACGCACATCTAGCCACATCGAAATGCCCCTGATAAAACATCGCGTAATTACGGGTAGCGGCGCGCGTCCTAAAAAATTGATTTGCGACAAACAGGCGCGATTGCAGAATGACGGTTCCGCATAAATACCGGCGTTATTCGAGGAGAGATGGTAACTAGTTGCATGAATTTTCAAAAGCCTCTTTGGCGAAACAGCGCGGGCTGTGGTGCAAACCCGGCAGGCGCACAGTATCACGCAATATTTACAGGCGTATCCGGTGTCGGGCCGCGGGCTAATAATCGTGCGCGGGCGCGCGCGCGCGCGCGGCGCACGTCAAACCGCCGTCATTGTCATATATTTGGTCGACAATGCCGATGATCACATTAATGCCGCGAGTGCAAATATTTGGTCCCGGCACAATCGTCGCCCGACTGCAGTGCGCCTTTCGCTCCGGGCGGCGGGAACCGCACTACACATACGTCGGATTAATGATTTTTTCATGCGTCGCGCGCGATTCACAAGCGCGATCGATTGCGCGAATCATTTTCGCGATTTTTCATCAAATCGTGCGTGTGTTGTTCACGTTCATTCGTCGTTTTTGGGGTTTCGCGTCGATTAGCGGCGACGCGACGCCGCGTGCGTCGGGCGTGTGTGTCGATTTGAGGGCTCGTGCCGACGTTGACGTGTGTTTTTCGCGCGCTGCCGAAAGGACGCGTCCGAGTAAATACATAAAAGCTCGTAAAAGCGTGACCGCGAGGAGAAATGAAAAATTTCGAGCGGACGAGAGAGCCGGGGGGGAGGAACAACATACACACACACACACGGGCGGCGGAAAACGCCGAGGGAAAACGCGCTAATGCGAGCCGCTGTCATGCGTTTTAGCTACCGAATATTCAATATTGCACGCGGCCTGCGGGCGCGCCGCTCGCATCGGACGAGGATGGTTTATATTTCGCCGCGCTCGCGCGACGATAAAAACGCACACATCGGGATTAAAAATAGAAAAAAAAAAAAAAAACGCCATCGGACATTACGAGAAAAAAAATCGCGATATTGCGAAAAATCGAGTAGCGCGCCGCGGATGTAAATCGTATGAAGTAACGTTTCTCGTACGCTCGCGCGCTGGGCTCAAGCGTATTTCCGCGCTTTGAAATTACGTTCCGTCACTTCCTTTTGACATGAAAGAAGACGCGCGAAAGCATCTTTTAACGTACTCTTCTTACACGTATAAAATCATCGTGATCTCTGCAAGTTCTTCTTACACTCGAGACCATTGACGCAAGAAAGCGAGTAACGTTGCTTTTTTTTTCCCCCCCACGGTACTCGAACTGATGACGTTTTCTTTTGACTTCTCGCGCGCCACGACTATTTTCGCGCTTTTTACGTCTGAAAAAAATCGCGCGGGTGTCCACGTTGGCGCATTCATTCGGCAATAAGAGATTTGCGCGCAAGAGAAGCAATTTGCGAGCGCAAACTGATTTTTAAAAGTCGCTAATGAGCGGCGCAAACGTCGTCTGCGCGAACAAGAGAGCGAGCTGCGAACGAAGCGCGAAAGCGACGAATTAATTCTCGATTTTCGCGTTGCCGCCGCCGCCGCCGCCGCCGCGTGTATATATATATATATAATTTTTTGTAATAACGAACGCGTGGCGGACACGCGAAAAAAAATAGCTGCAATAATGAATGGAATTCTACGGGCGAAAGCGCGCGCAACGCGCGCGAGATGAGGCTCGAAAGAATGAGAAAAACACGCGCCGCCGCGGGCTTTTACACGACGGGTTTCGTAATTAGTAGACTCCGGAGGGAGAAAAAGACGTATGCGCGAGCGTGTTTGCGTCCGCGATGCACGCGCGCCAACTGGGACAAAGACTTTTCGCGTGTCACCGGCGCGACAGAGCGCGCGCGTCTGAACTGGGACGAGGCTGCGACGGCGGTGTATTCCTTCTTTTGTTTTTGTTTTTTTTTTTTTTTTAACACACAATCGTCGTCGGTGCATATAAAGCCAACGACGCGCGCGTTTTTCTCTCTCTTTCTCGTCGGCGGCGCAAACAAAAACGAAATTTTGTATAGTTGATAATCGAATCGGATAATCGACGGACCGGATTTTCCGACGTCGGTTTCCCTTTGTGATCATTTGATTTGTTTCGAACTGAAATTCAACTAACTCTCAAAAATCATAAGACTTCAAAAGTGCACCAAATCTACGCGAAATACCGAATTCCATGACGTCATTTTTCCGCGTTTTACAACAAAAGCAAAGTTGTGTTATATTTTTCTACGTATCTCAACAACATTTCAGTTTTGTAAATTTTTGCAAAGTTGTGTTAAATAAAAAGTAAAATAACTTCTCTCTTTGGAAAGAGTTTACTTTCCAAAATTTTAATTACACACTCAACAAATAAAAACCAAAAAACGTTGTTTGTTTCAACACATCAACGTATTTCTCGTATAAAAAAAATAAATTTTCTTTCGTTTCGAGTGAATGTTTGCGAACGAGAGAGTGAGAGAAACAATGGCGCGCATTAGCGTCGAGATCAACGAAAATAGACGAGAACGATCATTAGAGCTCCGCATTAAAGCGACACCAATAACGATAAAAATCAGCGCTTCTCTCTCCGCAAGTAGATACTCATTATCGTTACACGTTTACCGCCAAGCGCCGAGAACAATGAGAATTGTTTTTTACGGTAATTGCGCGCCCAGATTCGAGGCTATCGAAACGTCCGATAGCGATTACGTGGACGCGCATCGATGCAACTGTTAATTCACGTGTTACTTCTTGTCTTTTAATTCTCCACATACAAAGCTCAACAACATTATCGCAACATTATCGACGATTGTTGAATAAAAACTCTCGAGAATACAAAGCGAGAAAATATTTCATACTTCCCACGGGAAATTTGCGCTACGAAAAAAAAAAACCTCACTAATGCAACACTCGAGTATTCTTACGCGTATTATCTTACGTAACGTCAAATAAGAATCTCGCATTATCGCCGCTAGTGTTGCGCCTTCTTGCGGATTGCAAACCGAGCAAATGAAAATTAGATGGATCGTTCGTGGGCGTATATTCAGGACGAAGGATCGCGAAAGGAGGGAAAGGTGATAACAATGGTAATGTTTAGAATATATGGATTACGGTTCCATCCATTACGTCCATACGTCCGCAGCGTCCATTACAGACCGCAAAGACCCGGTCGTAATAGCTTGCTCGAACTATATATTGTATATGTACATTCCTTTCTCACACACAAACACACACTCTCGCTCATTGCAGCTGCAACTACGCACGTTTCCCCGAGCGGTAACGGCGCGCGCTATTTACAACGCGTAATACGGAAAGCAGCAGCAGCAGCAGCGGCGGCCGCGCCGTGCCGGCCCGTGCATGTTTTTATCCGTTTTCCGATAAAACGGGAAATATTTCAATTTTGATATTCGAATTTTTGCCCGGTCGCGTTTCCGGCCCGAAGGATGCATGCGCCCAACCGAAAACAGCGGCGCCGATCGCGAGCGGATATGAAGTCGCGACGCGGCGCGCGTTCGTTCGGGTATTTATCAGAGAGATCGCGATAATAAGCGACACGACGCGGATCGATGGATGATGATCGCGAACGACGAGTCGCGAACAGAACGAGAAGTAATCTCTTGGAATAACTTTTTATCAGCTGTGTATTATAGCAAAAACAAATCGTCGTTATCGTAGCACACGTTCAGCACTCGTCGAAAAGCTCGAATTCTCATAAAGAGCGGAAATCAATTTCGTCGCGCAATTTCCGATGCGCGATTTTCAGAGAGTCCGTTCAATATACATATGTATATATATATACATATATATTAATCTGTTTTTTTTTCCTTTGATAATTTAGTTTAGTGTAAATTAAATTATATGAACGCTCTCTATATATATAATGCAGATGTGAGATCGATTTCAGTGTAAATGTGGGTACGTAGCGTGACGGCAAACTCCGCCTTTCCGCGGCATTTGTACGCGTGTTCGTGCAAACATACTGCACAATAAAATTAATTAAACCGGTATTTAATTAATTACTCGAAATCTGACAAATTTTCCGCTCGCTGCTCGCCAACTGCAAATTGTCTCTGTGAATTTCGGAGAAATTCAAGCTTCCCTCCCCCCTCCACACGTCCCGTTCCCCGCTAGTAGGCGATGGCGTTTATTATCGGCGCAGTTGATGCATTCCATGATTGCCGCCGAATATACACAAACTTCTGTTCGTTATTGCGCTATTATTCCCCTATCTCGCTATTAGCGTTCTCGCCTCCTACCTGTTATTAGAGACCAGGGGAAACACGCTCTATTCACCCGCTCCTCTCTCCCGCCCCACGTCGATGTTCTACGATCTGTTGTAGATCACACGACTGAAATTGCGTAAGTTACTGCGTATCAACAGTTATTATCCAATATCGCCGTGTCAGCGGGAAATACGTTTCGCATAAACGAATT